TGTCCAAGCAGCTCAATTTGTTGTTGATAGCTCCCTGTTGTTGAGGATATGACAAGTTCTGTCAGTGTTCCAAAGTGAGGGATTTCATTTAGCACCTAGTTTCAAGCTAATTGGAAGCCAGGTCCTCAGGCAGCAGCTTTTAAAGTATGCATCTCTGTAGTCCTGTGGAGCTGCAGTCATAAACCCTGCTGTCCTCCAGATGAGATCTGAAGGTTTCCCATGCGTAACAGTTTCAGGGGGCTCCCGAAGGGTATATAAGCTCCTTTCTGGGGGGTACTGTTGAGCTATGGTGAGACCAGGGGAGAGCACAAGGATAGTGTTCTCTGCTTTTGCTCGTTGGGAGCTGCTTCACAGTCTCTAGATGTGTGGCAAGTCTGAAGCCTGTCCCTCTGGTGAAGCTGCAAGACAAATAACTAGGCCTCTTTCACGGGAAGACTGGGGGTGTGTTTCAGTCTACTGTCTGTGCAGTGCCCTGTGGGTAGTAACCTACTAGGAACTGTCTTTCTAATTGTCACAGTCCTGTGGAGGCCAGGAACTCAAGCCCCCGTGGCTGTCTGGGCCAGATGATCAAGGAACATTCCTTCTGTGAACTACACATGTCTGTCAGCATTAGCAATGTAGCTGGAGAGCAAAAGTAGCAGGGCACACCTGCTGGCTTTAGCAAGGCAGCCAGAACATGCCTTGATTGTGTGTGTCTGCTGGATTTAATGATAAACCTGCAGAGTGCAGGAAGCACTGCCAACTTTAGCAAGGAGCAGGAGAATACCTTGGCCATGCATGCCCTCAGCCTTCAGTGAGGCAGCAGAAAAGTGCCTACTTTGCAGTGCACCCATCAGTTGCAGCTAAGTAGCAAGGGGTTACTGTGACTTCTTGTATTCTCTTGCCCCAGCAAGGCAGTGCAGGTGTAGTGAAATGGCACAGGCCACCAGCTTCAGCAAGGCAGCAGGAAAATACCATGACTACCTGCCTCTGCAGCCTTAGCAAGGGAGTGGAAGAGTGCCATGTACATGGGTGCCAATGTGCCCTAGTAGGATAGAGGGAGAGCACAGATGCTCCTTGGTGCCTCCATCTCCAGAGAAAGTCTCAACTGTTCCCTGCCCCTTCAGCAGATGCTTTAAGATTAGCAGATTCATCTTTTTCACATATAGTCTAGGTGCTTTTCAAACTGCTGTTTTTGCACTGGGTCCTGGGGTGGGTAAGACTGTTCACAAGTCCTTTGAAAGGACTCAGTTCCCCACAGCCCTTTGGGTATCTTGGTCAGTTCTATTGGTTTTCTAAGGCATTGGAGACTCATTTCTCTGGTGCAGATCCCAAGGGTTGGGGTGCCTTATATGGGACACAAACACCTCTCTTTTCTGGGAGGATATACGGACTTGTAAGATCCTTCCTTATTTTGGTCACCATGCCAGGGGTATGATTTTTCTCTAGATGGTGTCTCTGGCTCTCCTCCCCATCCTATCCTTTCATTCTTTGTTGTGGAGGAACAATTCAGCTAGTTTTTAGTTCTTTTTCACAAGGTATTGTTCCATATATAGCTGTACGTTTGATGTGTCTGTGGGAGGTGGTGAGTTCAGGGTCCTCCTACACTGTCATCTTGGAATGCCCTACCTTCAGCCTAGTCTTTACTCTTTTTCTTCAGTCACATTCATAAAGGATTAATTGATGTTACTGTTTTTTTTTTTTTCAGAAAAGTCACATTGAACGTATGTATCTTTTCTACTTAAAAAAACCTTTTTCATTAATTTCATCTTTTAATTATTCTTCCTGTATCTTTTATTTCACTATATTCTCTTTTTACTTGCATTAGGTTTGTTCCAAGTTCCTACATTTTTAGTATTTCCTTCTGTGATAAAGGCATTTAAATTTATAAATGTACCTCAAGTTCAGCATTTGCACTTTTGCATAGGTTTTATGTTAATGTGTTTGTGTTGCTTTCTAGTTAATTTGCCCTTTTAGTTTTTACTTATTTTATATTTCAGTTATCTTAAATATTTTTTCAGATATTTATTTCCAAATAAATATTTTTTGATAAGTTTTCAAAATTTACTTTTGTTGCATTATAAACAGACAGTAGTCTGAAACTCACTATTCTTTTTATATAAATTGTATTTTTTTTGGTTGATGTTTCATAGACATGAAAAAACATACTTATTCCCTGAAGTATTAGAAGTTGTTTGTATTTTTACTGACTTGAGTTTTTAAAATTAATTGTATTAAAAATCCTTGAGGGGCGCCTGGGTGGCTCAGTTGGTTAAGCGACTGCCTTCGGCTCAGGTCATGATCCTGGAGTCCCGGGATTGAGTCCCGCATCGGGCTCCCTGCTCGGCAGGGAGTCTGCTTCTCCCTCGGACCCTCCCCCCTCTCATGTGCTCTCTTTCTCATTCTCTCTCTCTCAAAAAAAAAAAAAAAAAAAAAATCCTTGAAACACAAGTACTTTTCTGGAGCTGATTTTAAAAACAAAATGTATTAAAATACTACTATTATCCTATTTTAATCAAGTCAACGTTATGTTTTAAGAGGTTTTGCTTTATACATTATATGCTCTGAGTGAGCATATATCTTTTCTGTTACCCTTTTTCTTTGATTATAGCCTGTACAGAATAGCACTTCGTTTTGTATATTGATTTTGTGCCCAAAACTATGTTGAATCGTTGTAGTTTATCTGTAGATTCAGTTGGATTTTCTACTTAATTGAATATATCATTTACAAATAATGGCAGCATTTTGGCTCTTCTCTTTTAATCCTGCAATTTTATTTTCCTTCTCTAAATTTATTTGCTAGGTTCTCCAGCTGTATGCTCTGTATCCATTATTATCCATTTCTCTATCTTTTTTTTTAAAGATTTACTTATTTATTTGAGAGAGAGATTGAGCAATGGGGAGGGACTGAGGGAGAGGGAGAGAGAGAATCTCAAGCAGACTCCCTGCTGAGCATGGAGCATGATGTGGGGCTTGATCTCACAATGCTGAGATAATGATCTGAGCCAAAATCAAGAGTTGGATGCTTAACTGACTGAACCACCCAAGGGTCCCTATCCATTTCTCTATCTTAAAGAGATTGTATTTATGGTTTTTTAATCACTTAGGATTTTGCTTGAGCCTTGTTAGTCATCCTTCAGCTGGTCTAATCTGCTGTTAAAACTAGCCAAATATTTCTAGTACCAGAGAGGATGTTTTCTTCTCCTTTATTTCTCACTCATATTTTATTTTCTCTTCATATATCTATTTTTGATTGTGGTTTAGCCATCATATATGAAAAAATCATTTGAACAAATATTTGAGTCTTAGATGATCTTACCTTACTTTTCTTTACCAGGTGCCAGAGAACTTATATAATGAAAGATCATTTTAGTCCTGTTTGAAGTCTTGAAGTTTTTCTTGGTTATGCAAATGATATGAAATTGGTCAGAAAGTCATGTAGTAGCTGGCCTTCTTCCAATTCCTTTCAATTTTTGAACAGCTCTTTGGGGTCTGAACCCAAGGAATGATCTTTCCAGATTCCCATACTTGTCAGGCCCTATACTCTGGATTTTTGTCCCTCAAGTTCCACTTGGCTATCGAAAACACAAATAAAGCTGCTCTGCTTCATTTCTATGTTGTCAGCCTCAAGGAAAGGTAGCTCCATGTGCCAGCATACTGCTGAAATCTAGGTCTCTCCTGGATATTAGCTCAATAATAGCTATTCTATTAAGTATGTCAGAAGATTTTTAAAATAATATTTTATTCCAGTTTTTTTTCAGTTGTCTTCAGGTGGAAAGAATACATCTTATTGTTAGTATTATGATTTTTACTAATCATAATATTACTTATTATTACTGTTACTGCTACCATTACCAACATCATTATAACCATTTTATTCTTATCATCATCTCTCTTCTCCAGAAGTTTTAATTTTCTGGGAGCACATGATCTAAGTGTTCATCTTTTTTTTTTTTTTTCTGGCTTAAAGTCCCTTTGGGTATGTTGTTATTGTCCATTATGTGGTTATGGATGACAGAGTTCTAATGGCTGCAGTTCCTATACCAGAGGCAATCCTGAGAGTGAGATAAGAGCTTTGGTCTCTGCTATTGTCAGAAACTACATTATCACCTGCAAGTGGTCAGTCTATTGTCAAAGTTAAAGGAAGAACTCTCTTAAGATACTGAACAGCAAAGAGCCTGAAAGATTTTGAACTTTTACCCTTCACCCTAAAAGCAAAATTGATGTATTCTTGGAAGACTATAACCTGAAAAAATACCATGATGAACATTTAGGGAGAAACCCATATAAAAATAATTTTATACTTTATGTACATAAATAATACTATTTTATTTATAAGACTTCAGTGCAGAGACACCCTCTTCTTTCAGTTTTGTCTTTTCTGCTACTGAATGGCTATTTCTTACTGATAAAGTCAGGATATCTTGTCTCCATTGGTTATTCCATATTGAAGAAAAGTGTTCTATGCTCCCCACTTTCCCTTCAAAATCACTGCCATTTCTCTTTTGATATTTCCTTGAAATCTTTCTTTGAATTAATCATTAGTATTCCTAACTTATACCTGTTGTAGAGTGCTTGCAGAATTAACTACCATAAGAAATTGGTGCAACTTTTCCTTACAAACACATCATGTTCTATGCAAAAGAAGCATCTTGGAAGGGTACAATCCACTGACAATGAACAATATATTATTGTTTTTATTAATTATTAAGGCAGTTTTGCCTACAAGATACTTTGGATTGTGTTCTGTAATGACTAAAATTCCTGACACTTATTAGCTCTGTAACTTAGGCAAGTTACTTAACTACTTTGGGCTTCATATTCCTGATCTGTAAACTAGGCATAATAACTGTACCTATCTTATAAGATATTTATGAGAGTTAAATGAATTAAATACATCTGAATATTTAGTAGAGCACCTCACAATCAGTAATTGCTGTTACCTAAGTGTTGGTATTAGAGATTAGGTAATAAATAGCTTATGAAGAATTAATTCCACTCTTTTTTTTTTTTCACAATAGAAACTGCTGATCTTTAAAGTATGCCTAGAACTTGGAAACCTGAAAATCTTCTTGACCCCACCCTGCCACCTACCTTAAGGTAAGTGCCTGCTGGGCCAGAGAAAAATGGGCTCTTCTGAATCTTAGCTTTGAGCTTCCTCATCCACATCCATCCAGTACCTCTCTTTTTTTCCTACCTTTTTGGCATGATTACATGGCAAACATTGTAAGTGGTCACTTTGTAACACCAGCAGATTGCAACTGACCAGCAAAACCAGGACCTCACTATTTTGATCTGCTTTACTTTGGTATTTTTCAGAGTACTTGCTGCCGCTCATTAGTGTATTATAAAACCAACTTAGTGGATCTCAATCATCATTTAAAAAATTAAATTTATAAATAGAATAAAGATGATAACATACACAATTAAGTATAATTTTATTAAATTTTAATTTCAGTGTATGTGTATAATTTTTTTCTATGTTACAGAGGGAGAAACTTTTTCGGTGTGTGTGGCTTATGATCAAGAAATTGAAAAGCACTGCTTTATTTCACTTCTGGCTTAACCTAAAGAATAAATAAATTCACTTATTCATGAATAAAGGAAGAAATGAGAGAAGAGAATTGCTCAGGCCTTAATTCTGGCTTTAGGGAAACTAGTTTCTAGGATTTTGAAAGGTGGGAGGCAGAAGAGGTACTCAGGTAGTGACCATGATTTCGACCTCATTGATAATGCTTAAAGAAATAGAAGATCCTGAAGCTTATAAATATTTACTTAAATAGAGATATTAAAAACATATTATATAAACTCTTTATAAATAACAATGCAATATCAGTGGTTGCTGCACAGTAATGTTTATCTCAGATCTAGCAAAGCCCTTTGACACACCCATTCATTTAGAAACTTCTTGAACTAACTATCCTGCGATGCACTGTGCATTCCACTGCCCCTTGATATCATATTATTTACAGTGACATCATTAGCATAATATATTGCTAATTTTGGCAAAATACCTTGAGAATCTAATATAATTATGCAGTACATACGCTGATGGAGGAAGACTTTTCCAGTCAATCCATAGCCCACCTGAAAACTTGCGGAAAAGACTTGCTCAATGAAGAAAAAGTAATGGTAACTTAAAAAGGAAAGTATCATGCCAACTTCAAGTTTATAAAAGAGGAAAAGGGATGATATGTTATAGGCATATATATAATATAGACTTAAATAAAGCCAGGTATAAATATATAAGAATGATAACATATCTAGAATAAATTTAATCTTCAATATGCAAAAATAGAAGAATGATATATCAGTTGCTTAATTGGAAAAGATGCTGACATAGGTGCTTTTTATCTACTTATGCACTCATTTTATTTGTTATACTAGTTTTAGTTTATAAATTATGAAACTGATATAAAAATGTCAACATGCCCAAGTCAACATAAACTATAAATTGCAGATATTATTTCCAAATTCAAATTTATTAACTCCAACTCCAATTCTTTTCTATTCTACCATAAAAAATTTAAAAAATATTGATCAAAGAAATTGAGAATAAACTCACCTTTCAGAATAAATCTGTAAATGTGTAAATGAGGCAAATAACAGTAACAGAGAGAAAAAGTTCTTCTTTTTACCACAGAGATATTACAAGCCAAAGAGTGTTGCATCAAACCGTGGCTTTGATTGGCCCTAGGTCTGTAGGCCAAAGAGATTTGAACACTAACTTTAGAATTTTTATTTCTTATTCATTATTGGAAACTAATGTGTAGAAGTTGAACAATGAAATGGGTGACTAGAAGAAAATAGGAGATGTGCCAATGAAGGTCAGATTCAAAAAAGGGAAACCATAAACCTTGAAGCCTGATAATGATGTGAGCCTGAAAATAAATGGTAGGGTCACAACATGAAAGGCTCAAATATTGTAAAGAATGTGAACTAATGTTATATGCAAAGGAGAGAATCTAGATCCTCTTTGGCCAGCAGAATTAATTGGTTAAAAATGAATTTATGACAAACATTTCTTTTTTTAAATTCAATTAGCCAACCTGTAGTACATCATTAATTTCAGGTGTAGTGTTCAATAATTTATCAGTTTTGTGTAACACCGAGTGCTCATCACATCACGTGCCCTCCTTAATGCTCATCACCCAATTACCCCCATTCCCCCAAACACCTCCCTCCAGCAACCCTCAGTTTGTTTCCTATAGTTAAGAGTCTCTCATGGTTTTTCTCCCTCTCTGACGATTTCCCATTCAGTTTCCCTCCCTTCCCCTACGGTCCTCTGCCCTGTTTCTTATATTCCACATATGAGTGAAACCATATGATATTTGTCTATCTCTGGTTGACTTATTTTGCTCAGCATAATACTCTCCAGTTCCATCCTTTCTGATGGCTGTGTAATAGCCCATTGTATATATATATATATGTACACATCTTCTTTATCCATTCATCTCTCCAGCTCTTTCCACAGTTTGGCTGTTGTGGGCATTGCTGCTATAAACATCGGGGTGCACATACCCCTTCGGAAACCTACATTTGTATCTTTGGGGTAAATACCTAGTAGTGCAGTTGCTGGGTCATAGGGTAGCTCTATTTTTAACTTCTTGAGGAACCTCCATACCATTTTCTAGAGTGGCTATACCAGCTTGCATTCCCACCAGCACTGTAAGAGGGTTCCCCTTTCTCTGCATCCTCACCAACATTTGTTGTTTCCTGTCTTGTTAATTTTAGTCATTCTGACTGGTGTGAGATGGTATGTTCAGTCAGCCAACATATAGTACATCATTAGTTTTTGATGTAGTGTTCAGCACTTCATTAGTTGCATATAACACCCAGTGCTCATCACAACACTTGCCCTCCTTAATACCCATCACCCCAGCTACCCCATCCTCCACTCACCTCCCTTCTGTAATGATCAGTTTGTTTCCTGGAGTCCAGAGTCTCTCATGGTTTGTCTCCCTCTCTGATTTCTTCCCATTCAGTTTTTACTCCCTTTCCCTATGGTCTTCCATGCTGTTCCTTATGGTTTTTATTTGTATTTCCCTGATGCCAAGTGATGTGGAACATTTTTTCATGTGTATGACAAACATTTCAAAGCAAGTAAGGAAGTTGGAATATATGTGAGACAGACAAAGTTTAAAGGTCTACCATGCTCCTCAAAGGTGGATACATTTGGAGAAGAAATAAAAATAATACTTATTCAGTGCTATAGTGTATCGGACATACTCTATGCATTATCTTGAATTTCATTATAGCCATGTCACATGGGAATTATTTATTCCTTTTCATATGTGAGAAAAGACCAAGCATCTAAGAGTTTAGATAAACTAAGAAGATCTCTTAAGGCCACTAAGTGGCAGATTTAGGATTGAAGCTAGTTTCACTCTTTATTATCCTACTTGCCTCTCATTTCCATCAACAAGTTACTTGACATTTCCAATAACTAGAATAATTAAATGACAATAGGACTTTTACAGTAGTTAATGGAAATTGTTCTTATGTTGATCAAATGCATTTTGCCCAGTGTCACCAGCAAGATGCCTGTGAGCTCAGCCATAAAGTCAACTATTTATTGCAAACAAGGAAAGACTGGTCCTCTTGTATGCAATTTGAATTACAATGAAGATAACAGATTTCTGAAGCCTGGGACTTACCATTTCTGGTCATTTATCAACATAATAATGAGATTATTAGCAAATTGCTTTTTTTTTTTTCCTTTCTTTTTCTTAAACAACTTGATCCATTTGACTTCTTCCATTTGCTTGAATTGTAGGGAAAATAATTCAATACATGCTAATGAATTCTCAATTTACATAAATCATTTCCCTATGTGATTTATAATCCTGATTTAAATACATCTCAAAACACCCACGTACAAAGAAAGTCTATTATATGTGTGGGCATAATTCTAATAATCATACAATTTATAAGCTTAAAAAAGGGAAAAGATTAGGTGACCTCAAGCCACTCAGAAATGAGCCTTTTTTTACTTTTCACCTCTTTATCAGTCTGTCAATTGGAGAAATTAAGTATATTCCTGTCTTGCAATGCATTACTATTGTATGAGTAATTAAATTCCTTTACAAAATTGGTTTGATTTTTTACACTAAGAAAAGCATAAATAAATATGAATTCACTGATTTACTTATTTATACCTTCTACAATGTATTTTATGACAGCTTAATAAATTCCGAACACTATTTTAGGGGCTGGAAATAAGACTGAATAAGAACAAAAGAAGTCTTACAAAATTTACAATCTATGAAGAGAGAAGAGATAGGATAAACAAGCAAATAATTCAGCAAATGAACTAATTTTGGCTGTATTAAGGCAAAAAATCATGTCATGATAGAAAGACTTGGAGTAGATGGGTTTTTTTGTTGTTGTAATGGTGTGATTATTTTTATTTTATTTTATAGAGAGAGCGAGAGTGGGGGAGGGGCAGAGGAGGAGACTCTCAAGCAGACTGCATGATGAGTGCAGAGCCTGCTCAAGGGCTGGACATAGGGCTGGATTGGATGTGGGGCTTGATCTCACAATCCTGAGATCATGACCTGAGCCAAACCAAGAGTTGGCTGCTTACCCAACTGAGTCACTCAGGCACTCCTAGAAAAGTTGTCTTTAAAGCAGTGACGCTTACCCTGAGACCTTTAAAACCAGGAAGAGTTAGTCCTTCATAGATGTGAGCAAGGAGCCTTCTGGCACAGGGAAGTTAAGTACAAAGGAAACGAGGAAGGCTCAGCTCATCTCAGGAACACCAATGGCAGTGCTACTGAGCGTGTTCAGTAAACAAACTGTAGACAAGGATCAGATCATTTCAGACTTTATAAACCATAGTAAGGAGTTTGGACATTATTTTAGATGTGATGGGAAGCGAAGGCAGGTATTAAGCAAATGGAAGACAAACTGCTTAGTTTAAGCTCCATGAGAGCAAGAATTTTTGTCTATTTTGTTTACTGATATTTCCCAAGCCTCTCAAACATTGTCTAATGTGGAATATGGGCTCAATTAATGTGTATTAAACCGAAAAAAACATGTAGAGATCTTTCTTCCAGGGTTAGGTAGGAGAAAAGTTAAGTCTTAATGTTTTCTGAGTG